ACGTAAACGCTGGCTTTGGAGGGCGGAGTTAATGTCAACAGATTTTTGGAGGGCGTTACCAACAGAGCTCAGTAACATAAACAGCTCTTCTGAACGGAAGTCAGAGCAGGCAGAACTAGAAAATGGGAAATTTTATTATCTGAGAATTATTTTGTGCATTAAATTGAATGAACATGGTCTGGATAGCCCACAGACATACCATAAAAAATTCTAGGGCCCATAATTGGTTTCCTTTAAGTTTGCAATGAAAGTGTCCGACATTCATGGTGTYATGACGACAGTGACTTAGCATTAGCTTATTTCCATAGTTTTGCTTACAATAAGCACCATAGCAGTTAATGAAAAGTTTAGATGTAAAAATAAGGTTTCAGGTTTGCTTTTTAGGGGCTGCAGTTTCACTGATGTCTTTATTTGATCAATATCATGGCAATGAGGCACAATTCAACCACGTTACTTTTATTTTGTCAGATCAAGAAAGTAAATAAGCTGCTATGATAATGATATGATAAGCTATAATAATAATCCTACCTGAAAACATTCACMTCTTAATACCATATGTATGATGCAACGGCTTCAGACACCATCATTATTACACAAAAACAAACAGTCTTCATGCTTCATGGATACATTTTATACAGCAAGCATAAGCTGTTAATGCTGCAGTCCAACTATTAAAACTAAAGCAATAAAACAAATGAAAATATTTTTCAACAAAAGTTAAAATCCATTTTTTCCCCTTAAGAGTTCAATAACTGTTGTACAGCGAGACCCTGGTGTGTCTAAGTTCAATCTCCATCTCCATCATCTACCTCTTATCCGTAGCCTGGCTGCAGCAGTAACAGGTTAAGGGGGGAACCTCAGACCTTTCTCTCTRCAGCGACACTTTCCAGCCTGTCCTGGAGGACCCCAAGGGGTTCCCAAGCCAGAGAGGATAAATAATTCCTCCAGCAGGTCCTGGGACTTCCCRYGGCCTCCTACCAAACTTTCCAACYTTTTGTAAAAATGGGGCTTGTGTTGAGTGGACTCTGAAACAGTGGGTGTTGAGCTCAGATTTTATRAAAGTCTGAAGGCTTTACAAGGCTGATGAAAGCTTCAGCAGCTTTATATTGYGTTTTAAAARCTAAAATCAGCTTTAGCCTCAGTGCAGTTGTTTTAAAACGAAAGGTTATAGATGTACCTCTGGTTAATCCYGTCCTGTTGAAGTTGGACTGGTTTAAGTTGAAGAGAACAGCTCAGAGGTGTTGGGATCATAATTTGATATTGAAACCAGAGCATGAGATGAATCCAGACGTGTTGCTGCTGATTCTGATTTGTTTCAATCGTGCTGCTGCAGGATTCTCAACTCTCCCTGAAACTCACCCTGATTTGGTTTTCTCCTTGGTCTTTACACACACACACACACACACACACGCGCGCGCGCGCGCACGCACGCACGCACATGTACGTACACGTATTTCTATCCTTACTGGGACAGTGTTTTGATTTCTATTAATTCCTGTAGCCTAACACTTAACTCTAATCCATCAATGGTGTTCTAATGTATTAGGACTGAGCTTTGGTCCCCAAAAGGACTACGGGTCCTGACAAGGTAGGTGTTTATACCTGAAAAAGTCCTGAAAGYGTAACAGACAACCAGATACACACAAAATGGGATCAAAGGTCTTTTCAGTACAAATTGTTTTCACAGCATGACAGTTTTGAAACATTTTTTTCTTATTATTTTTCAATCTTATCTTGTCTTACAGTTGTGTCAAGGGGTTACTCCTCCAGCTCCCCTGAGGAGCTGGCTCGCCCGCCTCCCACAGACGGGGAACAAACTCTGGTTTGTTGGCCTCCCCGAGCATCTATACAGAACACATGCCAACCAGGTACKGACTTCAAAAGGTTCTTTAGAACAGATGTTTTTTTTTTTTTTTGCATTGTAGAATCTACATGTTTGTCATTATTTCCTTTCCAATAGGTCAGGTTAAAAGCAGTGTGGTTGAGGATGTATTGAAGATGTGGCCCCCTCCTGCCGGCCCTAAAGACAAAGAGCCAGAGAAGGACTTTGGRCCTGGTGGAAAAAGCTACGAAGGAGAGCAGCCTGCCAGGAGCAGCAGCAGATCTGCAGCCCTACCTGGGCTTCAGAGTCACCTGGGACAGCCCCACACTGCCACTGTGACCACCAGCACCCCAAGACCCCCAGGTTTCAACGAGWTAATCTCTTCCTCTGAATCTGAACTGCTTCTGTGCTGTAGGCTTGTCTTGAGTCGATGTCAACTTATAACAGTATGAAAGCAGTCTGTTTCTGCGGTTTGTAGGAATAAAAACCACTCATCTGGTCATTCAGGAGCTAAATACAYTACAGAAGTAACTTCTTGTTTAGTAGCTGCTGTTGTGAAACGACTTTTAGCATTAACATTAGCTTCATTTCATCTCTAATGTGACAACATGTTGATGGGATCTTCCAGCTGTTTTGAAGTGTGGTTTGGTGGGAAAGTTACAAGCTGTTGTCTTAAATGACGATATGTTTCCACAACTTAATAACAGCTTATGCAAACATGTCACTGTCAGTTTTTCAATGCTTTTTTTCTTTTACATAGACATTTATGGTTATGTATGAACATAGATAACGTCATCACCTACGTAGCTACAGTATTTGGAGCAGGTTAGGGTCACTTCAGGCAAAAACATCAGATTTCTGAGAAAGCAAACATGAAATATGYAACAGAAGGGGGTGTAAAAGTTTAAAATCATACACTTTGGATGAACCCATATGAAATTTTGACAACTTGGCTTGTTTAAAGACATCAAAATGTAGAAAACTTACAAGTGTGGACTGCGACAAGTTAATGAATTAATTAATTAATAAACAGCTTCAATRTTCAATGGTAATTTATGTAAATAATGTGTTTACACTGCTCACATTACTCACTATTACTCCTGGAACTGCTGCTGGTGTTTGCACTCACAGAACACAGTTGTCTGTAAATATCTGTACGATGCTAAACTGATGGTGGTGTAAAGGTCTGAAACAAAGTGTGTGGATCTCTAGGAAGTTTTGYAAATTGAAATTGAAGCCATTTAACTCAGGAGCAGTCCACTTTGGACTTGGACAAGCTGTTAGCTGAAATTTTATTTCTTCAAACGYAGGTTGAGCCGTCTACTGTTGGGAAGTTTCTAAAGGTTCATAACTTGCATGAGAGTTTAGAAAACAAAGTTTTCACCACGAGCTTCACACACTGTTCATGTGCTTTCCCCAACAGAGCACAGCCAGCAGAGTGAGACCAGTGAGGCGGGCAAAGCTGAGGTTGGAGAGAGGAACTTTCCAGCTCCCAGTCCTCCAGCTGCAGAGCCTGCCAAACCAACCAGCGACCAGCCCACTCCAAACAACCTGTAGGCTTCCTCTGCTCTCCACAGATTGTTTGAAATCATCTTCTCCTCATTAACTCCCTTTGTGTGTCTCTATCAGAGCCGTCCTCGATACAGTGGTGGCCTCCGGCACATTCCAGGGGACTGCAGAGGCCCAGCGTCCTCCCCTGAACCTGGACTTCCCTCTGTGGAACAAAGACCATGCCACGCTGGAGGACATGGAGCTCACCTGCCAGAGACCGCCCTCCGTCAGTATATACAAATACTGCTCTTAGTGAAGTCTGTTTGTATTTTTCTTAAATATCTGCTCCACTCTTTTGTAGGTGGTGATACTGGATGAACAGATGGACCTACAAGCCATCGGCGAGTGGGGGGAGCAGCTGGTCCACTCCTTCCTGTGTAACTGGAGAGACGGCGGCGACCCGGGACGACCTGCTCACATCCTGTGGTGCAATCAGGGCAGAGAGAGCGGCCAGCCCTACGACTTCAAGCTCACCTTCGGGGCGGGGTCCACGCCGGGGGTGGTGTTCATCGAGGTGAAGTCGACCGTGAAGAAAGAGAAGTCCTTCATCCAGCTTTCGGCCAACGAGCTGGACTTCGCGCTGAAAGAGAAGGACCGCTACCACATCTACAGAGTGTACAGCGCAGGAGACGCTCAGGGCGTGCGCCTGTGTCGCATCCGGAACCTGGCGCAACATCTCCACACTAAAGACTTAGGACTTTATCTGTTTGTATAGCTCCTTTTTAACTCTGAGGTCTTATTTGCACTAAACCAACAGTTCCTACCCTGAAAGCAAATGTTTAGCACAGAAGATTTTGTAGACCTTTAAAGTTTTATGTATTTTTTTTTATTTATGAAGGTTGAAAGGTTATGAAAGGTTCTTTGCACTGAATATTTTAACCTTTGTTATAAAAGTTCCACATGTTTACAACCATTCCTTTAAAATAAAAAAATTTATTTTACCTGTTTGAAACAGTTCCGCTTTCTTTAAATAATCCAACAGGTGTTATTTCAGTGACACCATAACCTGATTGACAGATGAGATTGTTAAAACTGAAAGTTGAATCAAGAAGCTGATTTTCCTGTATTCTTCCATTTTCCAGGTAATTATTCAGTCCTATTGAGCAGGTCGCACTTTGTACAGACAAACTACGATCTGCTCAGCAGGAAAGGAAGGGGCAACTACAGGCTGAAAGAACAGGAAAGAGATGCAAACAAACAAAAGTGTTGAAATAGGTTTGTCCTTCAGCAGTCCTAAGCTTAAAGCAGCAGAATTAAAGGGTGGATAAACAAGTCCAAACCAACCCCAACTATAGGGTTTATCACAAATTAAAGWCCTAAAAGCAGACGGACAGAAACTGATGGTTGGTTCCATACAAGAGGAGCCTGATAACCGACTGCCTCCCATTCTACTTTTAGAAACTGGGGACCACAAGTAAACCAGCAGTCTAACAGACTCAAAGGCTCAGGATGAAACAGTAAGTGATATTTACTCACAGTAAGTGTCTGGAGATGATCTGAAAAGGAAGGGAGGTAAGGAAGGTTAGATGGAATCCTGGAAGGGAGCAGGATGTGATTATGAAGCTTTTTTTTTACGGGTTCAGAGAAATCTAGAAGCTCAGAGAGGAGCTGAATGTCCAAGAAGAAGGTATGAGTTGGTGAGTAGCTATTCAGAGTGTGGATGCTGGTCCAGGTGAAAACGTTCCAGATGGGGTAAATAGGCAGGTTGTTTCTAGGATGGAGGAGCTCCAGGCAGGRGAGGCAGTGATCCATAAAAGGAAGGTGTAACTAAAAGCACAGGAGATTCAGTTTAGTAAACTTCTGACCATCTTTACAACTAGGAAGCTTGGAACCATGTCCAAAGCATGTGATGTTCCAGCAAAGGTTGAGACTTCACTGCTGCCTCATAAAGCCCCAGGAGCTCATCAAGGTGATCATCTTCAGGCGTTACCAATCAGGAGGAGACTGCCAGCCTGGAAGCTGAAGATAGGAGCCAAAACCCACAATAATACCTTTAAAGCTACAGCTGTCAAAACACATTGAGGTTTTATGCAACTGTGCTCATTTCTTTGAGTCTTTGTTAAAATCACATTAGAAAACAACACATATTCCTTGACTTTGTTTACAAATAAACTTGGCGATTATTTACAATCAGTTAGGAAAATCCCTTCATCAGAATATCTGCGCAGCTCATTTGTACCTCCCCAAAACTCCAGTCCCTCCCCCAAAATTACTCTTGACTCTCATCCTTACAGCTTTTAAATGCTGTTTCTTATTTTACGAACCCAATATCAAACAGTTTGTAACTGATGGCAACAAAACAGGATTCTGCTCATTTACTACAAATAATGCATTAATCTTTTGGTTTAAGCAGTATATTTCTTTTCTTCTAACTTTTATCAGAACTCTGACAGCAGCATTTTAAATCAAATGAAGGCCATTTAGAGTTTTTTTGAACATCTAGATAATAAAAAATGTGACAGACCAGCTTCTGTAAAACATCTCCTTGCTAATAATTAGGAAAAAACAAGACATGAGGTCCAAAGAACTGCCTGCAGAGGGACAAAGTTGCTGCAAGGCACAGAGCTGAGGAAGCGTGCAGAAACATTTCTGCTGCACTGACACTTCCCAGGAGCTCATTGGCCTTCATGATGCTCAAATGTAAGACGTCTGGCAAAACCAGGACTCTTCACCAGAACTGCAGGCCTTTCTGGTCTGAGTGTTTCAACAGAAGCCGCTCCTCAGAGCAAAACACTTGAAAGATGCTTGAAGGACTCATACTGCGAGGAACAAGTTCCTCTGGTTTGATGGAACAATGACTGAACTGTGTTGTTTTAATTCTAAACATTATATCTGGTAGAAACAGAGCATTGCTTATCATAACATAACACCACCCTAGCAGTAAAGCATGGTGGTGGCAGCATCATGCTGTGGGAGTGTTTTACAGTTCATTCTGCAGAGACTTGAAAATGGCTCCACCGGCAGTCTAAATCCAGTTGTTTTAGAGGATTTACAAAGACGAATGGCAGAAAAAAAAATCTCCTGATCCATGTGTGCAATGATTGTTGCATCAAACCCAAAAGCACTCAAGGCTATAATTTATACCAAGTGTTTCAACTTGGTAAAAGATTGAATACCTCTGCAAATGTAACATTTAGGTTTTTCATTTTAATAAATATGCAAATTTATATAAAAGTCTGTTTTCACTTTGTTATTATGAGGTGCTGAGAGCAGATTAATGAGAAAAAGGATTGTGACTTCAGGCTGCAACATTAAACAAAAAGGAGGTTGGACTACTTCCTGTAACCTGTGTAACTTTGACTACTGGGCATTACGAGCGATCAATTAAAGGAAATTGAAGTAAATCTAAGTGTTTTACGACTTCTTTCTTTTACAAAACTAACCTAAATTAACTCCATATCTGATTAAATATATATTTTACATAATTAGAGTACAAAAKGTCAATTTCTCTCACGCTTAATGCGCATTTTAAAACAAGTTTTTCAAATTCCCTACGARCTTTAAAGGCAGCGTAGTCTGTACAGCGACAGCGAGCGGCGGAGCGACGTCGTGATTGGTCGCAGCTATTAGGAGGGGGGCGGGACTTATGTCATCTGCTCCTTCATCCAGWCTCTRCGTCTCTCCTCCTCTCTCCTCCRGTCCGAAAGAGAACAGAGCGATGCGGAGACAATAGGACGCAGTCAGAAGAACAGGCAGGCGGGCGGGGGGGAGAGAGGCAGGATGCTCGGCGCCACCTCCAGGAGGTTCTACCGGCTCACCTGGCTTTAGTATGAGCTCACCGCAGTCTGGGCGGACAGCGTGGACGGCCGCAGCCTGCATATGGACACCGACTGAGGGGTGAGTACAGGCCCGGGTGGGGGGTGGGGGGGTGACAGAAGGGTGGACTATCCGTTCTTATCCTCACCTGCACCCCTACAGAGTAGCTTCACGGAACYAACTGCTCCTGCATGAGCACAGAAAACAAAGCAGCAGCTGGTTTTATTGCGACATTATAATGAAAACATTCAGTATGTAGAGGAAACACGCCTCATAGCTCCATGCTGTGATTTTGAGTGGGGTGGGGTGGGGGTGGGGGGGTTGTCAGGTGTCTGCAGCAGCTAGTGTGTGTGTGTGTGTGTGTGTGTGTGTGTGTGTGTGTGTGTGTGTGTGTGTGTGTGTGTGTGTGTGTG